AGAGCTTGGCCAGGATGATGGCCCCTCGGATGGCAGTGGCTACCTCCTTGGAGCACTTAACACCCAGACCGACGTGGCCATTGTAGTCCCCGATGGCAACAAACGCCTTGAACCTGGTCCGCTGGCCAGCTCGGGTCTGCTTTTGCACCGGCATAATCTTCAAAACCTCATCTCTGAGAGATGCCCCCAGGAAAAAATCAATAATCTCAGACTCCTTGATGGGCAAGGAGAACAGATAGATCTCCTCCAGGGATTTGATCTTCATGTCCTTAACCAGGCGGCCCAGCTTGGTGACAGGCATCCACTCCTTGTCCTCGGCCTTGCCTCCGCGAGCTCCGCGGCCCCGGCCCCGGCCCCGGCCGCGACCCCGGCCCCGAATGTCGCTGCCGAAGCCTCCACGGAAGCCGCCGCGGCCTCCCATTCCAGGGCCCCCGGGGCCTCCGGGCCCTGCCGCTGCACCGGGGTCATCCGCCATTTGGTGTTTTCTTGGAGAAGAAGCTGCACCTTCTTAGTTTAAGTAGTAGCAAGAGCAAGCGGTGTCGGGGGTAGCGATAACGGCAGGGAAATAGCAGGTTGGTAATGGGAAAACAAAAAGAGCTCAGAGGAGGTCTTTTATAGTCAACCACATGTGGTTCTGTATAACTATTTACTGTAACGTACCCTATTCTAGGCCTTCCTCTCCCTTTACCGCTCTACCCAAGGGGCAGTATGGGCACATTTTTTTCCTTGGGGCTATTTATATGGCTCTAACTGGGCCTGAACCTTAGAAAACTGATAATATCAATCCTGAGCGCCAGTGTGTTCTGAGAATGTCAGTTGCTTAGGGGCAGTATGGGCACATTTTTTTCCTGGTTGCTATCTATATGGCTCTAACTAGGCCCGAACCTTACAAAATTGATAATATCAATCCTCAGCACCAGTGTGTTCCGAGAATGTCAGTTGCTTTGGCATTGCCCTTACCAAGCCTCCTCAAGTAGACCTCTAAATTGAAAAAGTGACTCCAAATGGGCCCCTATGCTATTCACTTTGAACAGGCCAAAGTTAAAAGAAAAATTCACTTGCTGATGAGGACCACTCTACAGGATCCTGGTCAGGTCCTTTGCAAGCCATAGAATTATCTCAGTCATGTCTCTAGTGACCCATTTCAATATGTTGCTGGACCTCACAATATTGGACCCGAATATAATCAGAGATTTCCTGGGAAAATTGGTTCTTCATCTAGAAATCTGATCTGCTAAACCAGGAAACGTGGTTCACTTGAGAACCAATAAGCCTTTTGTTTTTCTTCATCCTTAATTGCACCGGGATGGAAGGTGATTTCTGTAGAGTTGGTTTCCAGGCTATGGATAGGCAAACCAGCACTCACAGAAAGATTGTAAGGCAACCTGATGATTATTCAACCTCTACCATCCTGTGCCAGCACTTTCTTAGAGCACTATCATTTTACAAGATAATGTCAACTGTGGAAAAGGGGAGTTAACATTTGTTGGATGTGTTCTATATGCTGGATATTG